AAGTGGAAGTTTGATGACTCAAGATCTTCAACTTCCTCTTCCAACGACAACTACCAACACAAAGCATCGTGAAGCAATGATAGAACTAATCTTTTTTTTACTGAAAACTCATCAACTATCCAAATAAATAATAACTGACACATGAAGCAGACTACCCAATAAGCATAAAAGTAAGGCATTTATTATTCCCATTTCCTATCTGTACTTTGTCATTCTTTCTTTTGTGTTCATTTAAACTACTTATCAATAGTAAGTAGTATGAATATTTTTGTGACTTCTTAACCCTAACTTGTCTGCTAATGAAGTTTAATTGGCTTAATTTATTTATACTCTATTTGATGTATAGTAATTATTTTCTTATAGTTAAACACTTCCTGCTGCATTTGCCTTATTTACATGTCCTTTATTGTTGTATGTTTTTACTCGTATCCCTTTATTCTGTCTGGTATTTGCACTCAGTTTAAATTTACGTGTTACTTTGATACAGTTTTGCTGTTTTTCTTATTGACTTACATTGACTGTGCTTTTGACAGCATTCAGCAACAGACACCTAACAATTTGAGGTTTTTATGTTATATTTTATGTTCAATATAGTACCGTACTTTTAAGAGTTGGTTTGTAAGGATTCGATTCGTTTTATCGAGTTTCCCTACGGATTGATATCAGTTAGTGAACCATTGAAAACCAGGGAGTACTTACTGGACAGATGTTTCACTCTAGTTTGGGAATCATCGGCAGCACGCACCCACTGTCACAGTTCGAACCCAGGACCTTCCGGTTACAAGGTAAGCTCTTATTATTAATTCTGTGTTTTTGAATTTTATGTAACACTCTACGTGTGGTTAGAATAATCGTTTCGGATTCTTTTAGGAGAAATTCCCATTACCACCAATAATTTTTCAGTTCATAGGACAGAAGTATGTTATAAATCAAAAGAACTACACGACTGGGAAAGGCGGACCTAGTTAGTGCCAGTACTAAAGCAGTTCAAAACAGGGTATGTAAGACTGGACTGTAGTGGTTTGTGTACAGGTGTGGCCAGATATCAAACACTCGTACAAAAGCTTATCTGGAAGGTTATAGAAGTCATCAACTTATGCATCTAATAAAAATTGATTTTTTTTAATAAGACCAAAATCAGTATCTCAGACAGTGTAACAGAGATATGATTGAATTTTACTCTTTAGTTTTTCATTCTACTATTTAGCTTTTCATCTCAACTCCAAATCATTATTACAGTACACACAATTTCTATGATGGTTTTGCTGCTATTCAAATGTTTTACTCAAAAATGCTTCTTGATCAAAAGGTTATTCAGGTTCAAGTAATGCTACTCACTCATAGTATTTGATTAAACCTCCTAGATATTTAGGAGTTTAGTGCTCATTACTGGTAGCCTCGAAGTTCTATTGCACAATCGTAATTCACGATTCCCAAAGTAAATTTAACATAAAGCTGAATCATTCATCTTTGGAAAAACTTTTCCTCTGAGCTATTTCTCAGGACACTTATTTTGCTTTGTTTCTTTCTCTCGCTTACGCCAGTTAATAAGACAGCTCCCACTTTTCTAACACCTTCAAACACTGTCCAGCTTTGGCTTTGCTACCGACATGCCAATGTGTTGTTGTAATAATGAACTGTGGTTTCCTTAATCTATGTAGAATTCTATTTATTGATAATGTACTAACTGGATGCAATACTGTAGTAAAAATGCTGAGAATTCCATTCTGTATCACATGTACTGTTTGGGAATAAAGCAAATTATTATTATTATTATAAACTTAGCTTGATTAGTGTCATTTTGAGTGAGTTCTTTTTGATTTATAAGAGTAAATCTTTGGAATGTATGTCGGACCTCAACTAATTATGTTTACCAGTGGAGCTACATAAAAAAGCTGTCAACTTTGACAGACCTTGACCAACCATCTAGAGATATTCGTCGTAAGGCTTATAAACTGTTAACTGGATGATATGTAAATACATTGGTTACCTTTTGCACTTGAAATAATTTCTCAACAAGTTTTCTAGAGGACTATTATTATATGATTAACATTCCCTTGGTTACCAAGTGGAATATCGCACTTCAGCAGTACATCTCCACTTTATCCTGTTTTTGCAGTCGTCTTTATATGGTCCCATAAGTTCTCATCTCATCCTCATACAGTTTTCTCCATATTACCCTCTAACCCCCACCCAACTCGTCGTTTCCCACTAGGGTCTCATTCTACTGTCCCCTCAGTGTGTTTCCATTCCATCTGTATTCCATTTTGATCAATTTATGGGCACTAGGATTTCGCTAGTTTCTTTCCGGAATTCCGTGTTACTTATCCTTTCCTGCTGGCCATCTGATATTCAGTATGGAGCCATCGAAGGTAGCTGACCCTATGGAAATGCTTCCGATTACACACTAGCCAATTCTGTGAACTAGATAGAAGCACTGAGTGACTTAACATTAGTGTTCGAAATTCGAATCTTGTTCCTTATGCTCAGTACAGTAAGTTTCCACTCTGATTTAAGACTAATGAAGGTCTGTTTTGCTATTCTGATCCTTGCTGGCTTTGACATTCGCATTCATTCCACCCATGGTTGAAACGACGCTGTCGAGATGGTATGGGAATGAGCTGACTCCTTGCAATTTCTTGCTGTTCATAGTGATTTATGCTTGTAGTTGTTGGCTAGGTATCTTCATCACCACTGTCTTCTTTGTGTTCACTTGAAGTCCTGACTTCGCTGATTGCCTCTTCTGCCAACTTGTCGGTTTTTCCTTATAAATCTGCGAGTTTGTCGGATATTGGAAATGAATCTTATGCAAAGTCCAGATCTTCTCGTCGGTTCAACATATGGCCAGTTTCTCAATCCCCCTGTGTCTGTTGTATGATCCAATCTAGCACAGTCAGGGATATTATCGCCCTAAAGCTGTAGCTGAATTTACCATTGTGAATTACTTGACATGGGTCTAGAAAATGTAACAGGAAGCTGAGGAACTTGTTCAGTTAAACTTATCGACACAAATCCTTTTAAAAACTGTCTCCTTTGATTTTTGTCATAGTTATATATTGCAGTCAGTACTAGTAATCCCTGTAGATAATAAGTAAATAAAATACTAAATAGTATCATACTACTTTTAAGTAGCAAGAAAAATTGACATAAAATTCACCCAAGCTTTTCAGACGTAAGGCAACAGATATAGTTAGGAATCAAATAATTTTGACATCAAATAACATTATACATTGAGATGGAATGCCCAAAGTAGTCTTCATAGTCTGTGAGAAGGCATTTCGACTAATATTCTGATTTTATGACATTTCAGAGTTGTAAGGTGATAGCATTTGGTTGTTTTGCTCCAACCGAATAGTAATTAGAACCACAAATTTTACTAATCTAACCTCTATTCACCTCAAACAAAGAAGGTAAACAAGTAAGACCCACTACTGTACACCGACAATTTACCTTAAACATGCTGTGATATTTTCCGTCAGTGGAATATGCGCTGATGATATCCCTACTGTTCTGTAATGATTAAATTTACCTCAAGTAAGTAACACTTGGATGAGATGCCTATCCTCAATGCTTTACTTCATAGCAGAAACAGAAATCCTCGATTATTTGTTATGCGAGTTACTGCTGTCAAATGTAAGATGATGCTGCAAGACTAGACTCCTAGATTAAAGAGAGGGAGTGAAAAGGTTGAAAGTGTCGGTCATCTCACTCATTTGGGAAGTTTGATCAAGCCTAAGAGACTGATTGTTCACGAAATCTGAGCACAGATACAAAAGGCTCGTGTGGTATTTACCAACTTATGTCACCTTTGGCATAGAAGTAATACATAATTAGTCGTATAGTATTCGACAAGGAGGGTAAGTCAGTTGACAAATTTGTGAGGTTGAGGTGACTAGGACACGCATTGTATATGCCAAACCACCACGTTTTCCTTCAAACAATATTAGCTGCAATCGGATTAGGTTGGAAAAGAATTAGGTGTGGTCAAATCAAAACATGGCATAAACCCATGACGTATTTTGGTAGTTGGTTTAAATAATGCCGGGAAGTGTTGACCGCCTGGTTAGAGTCCTCGGGATACTAAGAACCAATGGCTGGAGACTACTGGTGATATACCATTATGGGTAAATTTAGTTTTGATAAAGTCTCACAGTGTTATACAGGTAATCACACGACTTCCTAAATTCATTTATATAGTTCCATTGTTTTTCACTTGATATGGTTCAAAACTGTCCTCAATGGCACTGATGCATTCACCCTTCCTTATCTCCTATATCCATTATACCTTCATTTTGAAACACTCCAAGCAAGTATATAAACCATTTGTTTTCTAGACGAACGACTATTATCTTCTTTCTTCACTTGTCATGAGACAACAACCATTCACCGCCTTCACGAAGTGAGGGTGTCGCCAATAAAAGTGAATCAGCGAATGCGAACGTCTGCCGATTACAACCGAACCGGTGGATATGCTGGTCTAGCTACAGTGTACATGGGCTCCAGAAGCCAAAAGGATCGAAAGAAATGCGAACCTGTTTCGGTCACCCGAACCCATGGAAATGTAGCTCCTGACACAGCTCCACTGCCTTGTGGATCAGACTACACGTCAAAAGCCAACCACCTGCTTCAGTAGGGGTGTCCGGGCACCATCTCACTCCTCGTACAGACTATGAAATTTTGTATGGCGCATCTTATGGTGCCCATAATGTACCAAATTTGTATTTTAATAAATAATAAATAAAATAAACAACTGTTATGCTGAATAATGTTTATTTGCATGAAGTGTACACCAAGAAGTAATAAAAATAATATATAAAAACAAGGCGAAAAGCAGTTTTGCGTCAAGTAATTAGGAAAATATTCATCATTAAAAAAAATTACAAAGACTTCACTTAATACAGCAAAGTACAAAGTCACGATAAACACATACAAATGAGAAAGCTCCACACACATAAACATTGACCCTGTCAACGTCTACAGAGGAGAAGCTGTAGGACGAATTACCGGAGTAGACTGTATCGTGTTGGACGAAGAATGCTGCTGGTCATAGAATGCATCAAAGGAACTGAGAATAGGGGAGAAATTTAAGAAAAACAAAAATTCGACGTCAAATATTGTTATGAAAAATACTGATTAGTATAAACAACAAGATCATATGAGAAACGATCAAACAGATACATGAACACGTTGGATTACAACAAAGGACTGTTACCGATGTTATTAGAGTAGTTTAAAAGTGACGGTTTAAGGGTTCATCTTGTAACCTGACGGCCCTGAATTTGATCCCTCGTCGGATGACAGGTAAGTATTGTTGAACAGTCGGGAACGAGAATAAAGTAGATGTTCAGTATTCCCTAGTTTTCCGTGGTTCTGTAACTGAATTAAGTTCGTGATCAACCTAGAAATGTCGTGAACATACATTTTGAAGATATTGGATACATTCTTACATTGTAAGTAACTTCAGAAGATTAAATGACACATAATAAGCACTTCATTTACAAGCTTAGCGAAATAAGTGATGCATTGCAATTAGTAGTGTAACAACAGAAGACAAGGGTCAGGCAACAGATCGTTTATTAAGGAAAATCAACACATATTTATAGATTTCAATGTACATTATTGTAGATTATTGTTCGTAGAATATACAGTCTTTTGATTGGTTGTTTCTCACAGAAAGTTAACCTTGCATCTCTTTGTGGCTGTGTCAGATCATCCATATGCTAACTGTATCCGCCTACACAAAGCCTTTGTTCTCGTTTTCTCACCACCAATATTGGGGACATAAACATTGACGTCAATTACAGTCTACCAACTTTGGCTAGCAGCCAGCTCTCATCACAGTAGTGTTCTCTGAGCTGGCTGGTTTAGTTGAAGAGCTTTCGTCATCCTTTTGGACAATATCTTCAGCGCAATTTTTAGCATAAAGTGAACTGATTTAAATTTTCCATGAGTGATGACAGAATCGCGTCTCCCGGTAACCATCTTCATAAATGCATTGATCAGTTTCTATTGACTTGGATTTTAAACTTTCTGGTTACATGATCTACATTTTGTTAGTTGGTATATTTGGTCCAAATTAACATGTTTGTTAGTTGCATATTTGTTTGAGTATCAGGCTTCTAGGAATTCCCTGGCACTTTTTGTGTTTCCCCTGTCTAAAATCTCGACATTATCCCAATCGAACTGATGGCCATAATTATCTATATGCATTGATATGAAAGAATATATATATCATGTCTTTTCACAGCTGATTTGTATTCCTGGATTCTGATTCGAAGGGGACGCCCACTTTGGCCGATGTAATGTCTGTTACAGTTCATACAATTTATTTTGTAAATGGTATTAATTTTATCCCCTTTTTCTGTTGGATCTTTCGGTTTGCGCAATATCGAATTAAGTGATTTGACTGGCTTGTGTGCTATATCTATTTCAAACGATCTTAATATTCTAGCTGTTATTTCAGAGATATTTTTTATATATGGTAGGATGAATTTTCTTGTGTTCTTTGAGGATGATTCCTTGTTGGTGTTGTGATTCGATTTTAAACACTTTTTCATGAAATTTTACCGATATCCCTTCTTTTTGAGGACCGTTAGTAGGTATTTTTCTTCCATTCTTTTCAACGCTGGAGTGCTACAGTGTGTTTGAATTCTTTTCAACAATGTCTGCGCACAGTGATGCATATATACAAGGAACAGACTTTCAACAGCCTTCAAGTGAAAGAACCGTCAGTATTACTTAGCGGTTGAATCAACCCTATATTTTTTTTCCTTCACGTTCCCCAGTGGAACATAGGGCTTCAACCTAGTGGCTTCAAGTTTCTGTAGCAGTGTTTATTTTACAGGATGGGGTTGCTAGCCTCATGCCCAACCTTTCCTCTTCACTAGCATTATTTCTGGCTTAGCGAGGTAAAGGAGTGCGTCTGTGGACGGGGATCGAACCCCGGACCATGTGCATGGTCGGCGTAAATTATGATGCTGCACAAGTCAATTACATGCAGCAGGCTATAGCAAGATATTGATGCTGTGTATCATAAATAAGTCACTTTTCCTTTTACCTGTATTCATTACGCATTTCCCCCAACTGGGATCTTGCCAAATTTCATCGCGTGATTTCTTACGTGCCTCAAGATCACGATAAGCTGTAAAAAGAAAAGAGAGGACGTATAACTATTATTTTTATTAAAAAAAATATCGAAATGTTTCCATACACAGGGTGACAGAAAATTGGCATGTCTTGTTTCTCTAGAATCCTCTAGCTTACTGTTTAACTGAAGACACGTATTCACCACCAAGGATTCTTAAAACACCACAAAAATTCAATCGGCAGATAAGTGGAAAATACCGGTAGTTAAATTATGACCAATACTTATAAATCGATTGATGTACATGGATGTTTTATGCTCGCTTAAACATGTTGTTCTCATTCTCGTATTAAGATATGCTTCCTATAGTTTATGCACACTTAGTTCTTCATTTTCCTATCTCAAGTCTTAAAGAACTCCTAAATAGTTGTTTGAACTCACTTATGCGGAACAGATTTTCCATGTGCCAGATCAGTCAGACACACCTACCGTGTGAAGGCTGATAACACTACCCAGTTGTCTGGCATGAAGTAGGTGGGTGAAACAGGGCTTTAGCCTGATGAGCCATTTGCTGAGAACTAAGCAGTTTAACCAATGAGCTCCAGATCTCCTCGATGGATATTGTTATGGTTGAAAATTTATGTATCAATCAGGTTAAAGGAATCATTTCTTTTTTTTTAAAAAAAAAGCAATCACTTTTAGCTCTTGTAAAGCGTACAAGCTTCAATCTACAGTAAATTCTGTATTTTACAACTCATCTATAACACATAATTATAGATAAACACTGTCCCATTGTAAAAACATATTAGTTTCCATGTAACTGTGACTTGTGTGAACAAAACGCATAAAAACATAATTTTCTTTCAGTATTAAAAAGAAACGAAAAACGCAGAATTAGCAAGAAGTGGAAACGATAAAAGAAATAAACCTGGTGCTTATCTCCTCAATCTGAACTCAACAAGTATGGATAATCTTCATGATCGTGAGTACAGAATAAAAAGTAAAATATTCTTACGACTACAGGAGACAAAGACAAATTGGGAAGTGACAAATACACGAATAAGAGCCGCCATCAACAAACGCTAATCACTTAAGTGGAAATATACAGGGGAACGACTATCGCAATTCAATAACTTATTTTATAATTCCAAGGTTGTTCCTGTAGCGCATAAAGTGAATACCAGAATGATGCCACATACTACTGATTGATTGCGATGAGTGGTTGCATATCTCACTCACAGCTACCAGTAGTGCTTACTAGTCAGATGAAATTGATCTAAACAGTGGACAGTCGTCGCGCTCGTTTGAGGTCAAACTCCTCAGAGGAGTACCCAGTTTGACTCAGTTCAGAGAGTCGAACCAGTTCAAACCACATGATCTGGCTAACAAGTGGTATACAACTAGTCACCTCAATCAGTCAGTAGCATATAGTGTCATGCTTTTATGCCTGCCTTCTTCATTGCTCCATCCATATTTCCAGTGGTTTAATTGAATCAAGCTACTAACAGCTTTAACTGTCAAAAGAACTACTTACCCCAAAGATGATGAACCACATGCATATCCCCAATATGAGAAAACAATCCAGCTACCGCTTCATCATTCTTAGATCTGACTTTTATAGCGTGAACCCTAAACAAATAGAATAAAATAGTTAAAAAAAAAAGAGGATGAAGCTGAACAGGGGCAATAAAAATATTCTGTGGTAATCATTGTCTTATGATTTGCTGATGTTTTTACTTTCACGCTCCATACTGAAGATCGGATGGCCAGTCAGAAAGGATAAGCAACAAGGAACTCTGGAAGCGAACAAATCAACAGCATATTGCCCTACAAATATGTAGAAGGAAATGGAAGTGGATTGGAAAAATGTTGTGAACACCGCCGAGTGACATCACTCGCCAAGCCAACAAGCGGAACCCCAATGGGAAACGACAAGTTGGGCGTGGATCCAAGGGTGGTGTGGAGGAGGCGTGTGACGAGGAAATGAAAGCTTATGGGCAGTCATAGAGCCAGATAAAAAAAAAAGACTGCATAAAACAGTGTGAAATGGAGATTGGCTGCTGAGACTTTATCTTCCACTCCAAACCCAAGGGAATAATAATTAATTAACAATAATAGATGCATCACTGTTGACCTTCTACCGGGATTAGATTGTGTATATGATAAAAGTAATAATAATAATAATACATTTCACGAAATCACATGCATGGAGCTGATGTAAGCAGAATATCATGATTACACTTAACAATACTTTGTTGGCTAACAATTAGTTAATTTACTTGTGAATAATGCTTCCTGTAGGGATATGCGGTGCGTCAATGGCACAGAGGTAGAGTGCTCGCCGACCACACAGGTGGTCTGGGGTTCGATTCTCGTCCACCGACGCACTCCTTTACCTCAGTTAGCCAATAATAAGACTGGTAAAGAGGGAAGGTTGGGCATGGGGCTAGCAACCCAATCTCGTAAAAAATAATCACTACTGCTACAGAAACTTCAAGCCTCTAGTTTGAAGCCTTATGTTCCACTGGGAACGTAAAGGAAAAAAATAGGGATATGCATCTGAGACCTAAATGCGAATCCTTAAATCATTTCGATGGACCATTTACAGAAGGAATTCTGGTTGATCTGTGAGATTTGATGGACAGTAACTACGACTTATGGCGTTATAGAAGTAGTTTTCTGAACGGCTAGGAATCGAAACTGCCTAAATGCTTGTTGTTGAAATGGCTTAGGAATTAAGCAATTATTGTTACATAAAAAAGCTGGGAAAAATCTAATAAACTTTCAGCTTTATCAACATTCCAGGCAGTGAGTCACACAATTTAACAAGTTTTTTACTTGCACTACTGAATACTTACTGCTAAATAATTATAAGATATCATATATAAAAAAGTTGAAGTAGAAGAGAAGCTGCTCAAATGTTACCAAAATGCTAATTCAACTCACCAATTATTACCCCATTCAATCATTGTACCTGGCTGAAACGAAAAAAGTCATTATTATTACTGCATATCTATGTGGAAAAATACAAATATAACAGTATTTACAGTAATAAAACAAAATATACTTCCTAACTAGACACCACCTACATGATAGACCACAGTTAATGTAAGATATCTCATGAAACACCATTTATTCAAATTATCGCTAACTCTGTAAGTATAGCATGTGCTTTGCACCGTCTGAGTGCTTGTGTACTTGCACTCACTCTTGCGGGTGAACCGCTTGAAGTTGTTGATAAGTTTGTTTATCTGGGTAGTTGTGTGAGTGCTGGCGGAGGGGTGACGGATGAGATTTCCAACCGTATAATGAAGGCTAGGGTGGCATACATCAACTTGTGCCACCTCTGGCGCCGTCGCGACGTTAGCCTGGCTGTCAAAGGCCGGGTATACAATGCTTCGGTGCGGGCTGTCTTGCTCTACGCCAGTGAAACCTGGCCTCTCCGAGCTGAGGATGTGAGGCGACTCTGCGTGTTCGGTCATCGCTGTCTCCGCAGGATTGCTTGCGTTCGATGGCATCATCGCGTGAGTAATTCTGAGGTTCGGCGGCGTGTGTTTGAACACAGTGGAGACCACCATTCATTGAGTGTCGTCATCTGGAAACACCAGCTCCGGTGGCTTGGACATAATAATAATAATAATTTACTTTATTCCAAAAACAGTACTTGTAATACAGAATGGAATTCTCAGTATTTGTCACAATATTGCATCTGATTTACTCAAAATGTATATGAAATTTAAAAAAAATTAAAACAAAAATTAATCGGAGGAATTTGTCCACATTTACGACATAATAATTAGATATAATAATAATAATGAATACTAATAACAGTGAGTTTGTTTCAAACGGTATTGTCGATTCAGTTCGGAAACTTTAGCATGTTATGGATAATTGGGTCTAATGTTCTGTTGATATGGTATAGTGAGGTGAAATACAAAGTTAACAGTCATAATACAGCTTAAAATTATGTCCACACTTATGAAAAATAAAATAAACAAAACGAAAAAATTGAGAGGATTTTAAATATAAGAAATACAATAACAATAAAGTATGATGCTTTAAGGTTGAAGGAAATGGTCTATTTAGTGGTGCTAAGAAGGTTAGTTAGTTCATTTCTGACACTATTTTCATCACATAAAGTACGTGCCATGTGCTGCGAATGTCATCCCAGAGGCTTCCGTACAGGTCTCTGTTCGCTAGCCCTGGGACGGGATGGAAAAGGCGGAGGGGTGGTCAGTCCATGACGTGGCGTCGTGGGATAAAGGATATTTGTGCTAGATTAGCATCGGTTGGTGTGTCACGACTCCCTGGTTAGGGTCCGCGAGATAGCTCGAAACGTTATCGGATTTGGCCAAGAATCGTAATCAATGGCGAACGTGTTGCAATTTCCTTCTTTCTTCCCTTCCTGATGATAGTTAACGAATACTGTTTGAACTTGTTAAACATGACTGTTTTCCTTCCAGATGAAGTTCTTTATCCGTTTTCTAATTATATTTTTACTTTTAATCTATGTTGTTTTATTATTATTGTGTGGCGAATCTTTCTTGGTGCCATATTGTACCAAGTTTTTTCTGCGTTTAAATAAATAATCGCTAACTCTAACTGAAGAAAAGGGATATAACAATAAATACGATTTTCAATGACACAGGGAATGAAAAGCTAATGATTTAGAGTTATTCTAATGAGAACTCAAATAGCTGATTCTCTAAATGATGGGGAATCCGTAGAAGTAAATTAAACTTCCTCTTAACAGTTCGGTCAAATGCCTATGAGTTCATAGATATTAGTGTTTGACTCACTGAACTTTGGCTCTTCCATTATAAGCTCACTCCAGCCAATAATACACTACTCGGATAAGTGGAAGCATCTGTAATACACAACCCATCAATATAATCAATGAGAATTTACAGTTGCATAGATTTTCTCCTATAAAATTTCACCGGAAGTAAATGCAAATCAGTTAAATACAATAATGAGTTTATTTTTTATTTATTTAAACGCAGAAAAAACTTGGTACAATATGGCACCAAGAAAGATGCGCCACACAATAATAATAAAACAACATAGATTAAAAGTAAAAATATAAGTAGAAAACGGATAAAGAACTTCATCTGGAAGGAAAACAGTCATGTTTAACAAGTTCAAACAGTATTCGTTAACTATCATCAGGAAGGGAAGAAAGAAGGAAATTGCAACACGTTCGCCATTGATTACGATTCTTGGCCATATCCGATAACGTTTCGAGCCATCGATTCGAGCTATCTCGCGGACCCCAACCAGGGAGTCGTGACGCACCAACCGATGCTAATCTAGCACAAATATCCTTCATCCCACGACGCCACGTCATGGACTGACCACCCCTCCGCCTTTTCCATCCCGTCCCAGGGCTAGCGAACAGAGACCTGTACGGAAGCCTCTGGGATGACATTCGCAGCACATGTCCAAGCCACCGGAGCCGGTGTTTCCAGATGACGACACTCAATGAATGGTGATCTCCACTGTGTTCAAACACACGCCACCGAACCTCAGAATTACTCACGCGATGATGCCATCGAACGCAAGCAATCCTGCGGAGACAGCGATGATCGAACACGCAGAGTCGCCTCACATCCTCAGCTCGGAGAGGCCAGGTTTCACAGGCGTAGAGCAAGACAGCCCGCACCGAAGCATTGTATACCCAACCTTTGACAGCCAGGCTAACGTCGCGACGGCGCCAGAGGTGGCTCAAGTTGATGTATGCCACCCTAGCCTTCATTATACGGTTGGAAATCTCATCCGTCACCCCTCCACCAGCACTCACACAACTACCCAGATAAACAAACTTATCAACAACTTCAAGCGGTTCACCCGCAAGAGTGAGTGCAGGTACAGGCTCCTGCCAATCTTGTAACAGTACTTTGCACTTAGACGGTGCAAAGCACATACCATACTTACAGACAATGACACTGACAATAATGAGACATTCGTACAATCAGTCTACTTTTCAACGGAGACAGATGGAATAAATTGAATAATCCATCAACAGCATACTTTTAACACAGAAACAATCAGATGCATGCATTGCATACATTACTATCCAAACGATTAAAAATGAGAGGTTTAGAATAGCGTGTAACCAGTCTCAGTAAGAATGAAAACACCAAAACACTTTAGTATGTTTAGATAGTGAATCCCGCATAAAATAAAATATGCTTAGTGAATTTTATCACTAGCCACTATACATTAGAATCAATGACAAGAGGTCATCTATTTTCCATTATCAGACTTTAATGGAATTGTCATATGACTCATGTCATATTACTCAGTTTCAAATGTAATTCCATATTAGTTTGTTTATTAGATGTATCACACAGTGAAACAGTATTATTTACTGGATGACGTTTCGAACAAAATTTATTGTTCATAATCATACCAATCAATTATAATCACACGACTTCGAAACTTGAGTTATTCAAGTCGAAGTATGATTATAATTGATATGATTATGAACAACAAATTTTGTTCGAAATGTCATCCAGTAAATAATACTGTTTCACTGTGTGATATATCTAATAAACAAACTAATATGGAATTACTTACTACCACAGTGCCCAAGTTTTACACATATATTAGTTTCAAATGTAATTTTTAACATTTATGGTGTAACCACTGTTCTCAAAATGAATATGTGGAAATTATGAATTAAACGCTCACAAGCAATTTTCAAACCAAAAACAATTTCTTTAAATATCACCACAAAACCCGGTCTTTTAAGCAATGGTACAAGCAACAAACCATATCTCCAAATCAAGTGAAAGACAAAAGGCGGAAAAACAGTGAAGAAAACAGAAGAAAAAAGAACGTACAGAAATGGAAAATAGCTAAAAGTGAATCAATAAACAGCTGCCACCCTAAGGTAGAGGAAAACAACTGATGCTGACCCGCAGTAGGTGCATCCGAGTCGAGGTATTTAACCGATTGCGACAGATGTGATCAGGTGTGAACCCAGCCAATTTCTTTAGCCTTTTCTGTCCCGTAGATGAACATATTACAGCTTTAATGCCAAGGTATTAGGGAATAATAGCAGTTGCGTTTGTCATAAATACATTCTGGGGATTTGACGACTACTTGGAGGAAAAATATTCGGATACTTAGGTCACTTAGACGACTCATAAAACTTCGTAAGTCTACAAACCAACACATGACAACTAAAAACTAGAGTCAAAAATTGGGAAAGATAAAAATAGATTTGATATAATCCGATTTACTATTCAAGAAAACACGATACAAACCTTCAGATAATATGATCTAAGTTCATAAATGTTGTCAGCACCTTCTTCCGTTGGTTTAGGAATAGGCCAGAAACTAAAAGGTAGGCAGATTTGGTTTCTGCGAGAGTGCAGGAAAGAATTTAATTTCTGTTGGCATTCAACGAATTCCTATGAGAAAATTATAATACATTATATTCACAAACCTTGTTATTATTCATGAGATTATAATGTGTACTAAGACCGCTATAACCTCCTGTAAATCTCCATAAATGATCTGAAAATATGAAATCTTGAATTACTATTTACATATTTTATTCTGATCGCCAATATCACAAGTCCAGCTACCAATCAAACAGACTTCATTTTCATCTGTTTTGATTTTATCCAGAAATATTCCACTAGGGAGAAATATAACATAATTGGACGAACAAATCTTTTAGATATTCAGTGGATTGATGCGTCTTGACATCGTGTATCTGTAGTTCGAATACAGAAGCTGAATTTGATAGAACTCCAGACTGAGCTTCTGTGGCCTGATCAAATACATTAGCCTTCCATATATCCTTCAAAGAATTTAGCCGTGATCTGCAGGAGAACCTGAAGATGATCAGATGAGTATGAATAAATACCATCTCCTCGTGCAATTCAGAACCGTGGAACTACACATGGCTGATAATTGCACAAAAATACTTCTGACTGTGAGTTTAGACCAAATGAGTTTGATACATATATGTTAACTTGCTTGCTAGAAATTATAAAAAAAACAAATACAAAACCGTATTCGTAAATGAAGTCTTCCACAGCAAAATTTCTAGGTAAAAAAGAAACACAGGCAAGATGAAAAGTATGTGATTTTGCGATAACTAAACACATATCAATGAATTTTAATTAACAGGCCATAAATCCCAATAATTTATGCAGCTGCCACTGCAAGTCGCTAGGACACTTCAGATTCAGATTTATTGGTTGAGGATAGAAGGCTTGGAGCCTATGTTAATCCTTTTCTCGTAAATTTCTGTGGTTGTCTAAACCCTACCTTAGTATCTCCCCTACCAAAATGCACTGAACAACCAAGGACTGTGTACCTATATTCTAATGGAGTAGTGCTCATGTTGGGAGTACAGCAGGCGACTAAGAAGGACAGAAAATACACTCAGGGCTCGGCAAAATAACCTACAAGAACCAATCAGATCGCTGACTTTTCCAAATATATTTGTGTATGGAAATCGGTTTGATATGCCATTAATAACACCTAAGAGAAACTGGGATATATTTTACCATCACTCCGAAACGTACATCTTCTTAAATTGCAACATGTGTTTTGCCAAATCACTTCACAAGGACTTAGTACATGACTTCAAAAAGAGGTGGAAAACTGTCAACCACTAGCTAAACATTTCTGCGGTTTAGGTGAGATGGTGCAGTATATTATCCCTTGAATAATCAAAAAACACCTGTGTCTGAACAGTAAGTTAGAGCTAAATCTAGGTCCACTTATAGCGAAGTTGAAAGTTTAGGTTAACTGGTTGTCCAAGCTTGGATCTAGGTTATTTAGGCGACTGGTGGTGGCTGAAACAGTTTATCTCTTAATAATAGTGCTCACTTGGTTACTAACCACACATTCCACGTGCAGTCCATGCTGGTCAACAGGTCGTTGTAAACACTATAACACTTAAAATTCCAGTATTAAGTTCATTCATGTAAGAACTTGTGTAAGCCAGTTTTGACAGGTTATATTTACTAATGACAATCCCTAAAATCCACTACCATGTCATTCTTATTTTTCCGTCAGGCATGATTGTCTTAATGACTTGCGGTCACATAAAACAAAAGTATGTGTTGAATTTACATAATGAATTAATACTTGCGGCGAACAACAACTCAGACCAAAGACCTGCCAAATGACCTAGAGAAACGCCTCAACCTTCAATATCCAATATCCAATATCCTGATTACGAGCTAGTATAAACCAGTGATTTCTTTGAGCTCGCTTCTTGATTTTAAGGTAGAGGTTCCAGATCTTCGGTGAACTTATGCGTAGTAAATCCCGCCACTCGACTGCTTCAGCTCTGGTAGACTCCAGGAGGAGTGATGCGAGGATTGGTCAAGAT